ACTGATCTAGATATGGATGATTTTCAATGATAAAATGTCAGCTAAGTAATCAATACTAACTGAAAGTCAATGGACTGCGTAGACTTAAATACTGTTGGTTATTTAGAAAATTTATTGTGAAGCTCTAGTGAAAAGAAAACTCTTTTCCTCAAACAAATTCAGAAAGAAGAGGCAGTGAGAGTTTCTAAACTAAATGATTCATTAGAATTACCTTTAACTACCACTGCATGAGTAAATAGTGTAATATCAGCTCCCATATACCTTTTCTGTCCTTATCCAATTCCTGTATAAGGATTTTAAATAAGAATGCAAAGCTAGTATTATCTACATCTGAACACGTCCCTGAGGAAAAAAAAAACAACGCAGAAAGGGGTTTCCCCTTTTTCAGACTCAGATCTAAGGAACCCTTAGGTCAGGCACACACTCCACAATGCTTAGTTGAGGTCTCTGAAATTAATGCTTTCATTTTTAAAAGTGTGCTTCTAGCTGCTATAGTTGCAGCAATAACCTGCCAAACGTGAAATGAGTAACGACGTCTGCAGCCAGCCTTGGAACAATGACTCAGAGGAGTGAACTCCTCTGTCGCACGTAAGTCTGATGAGAGTGTCAAGTCCAATCCCCAGTTACGTGCCTTCAATGCTAGCACTACCTAAAGAATTACTGATTTTAATGCAAAAAAACAGGTTTGGGCAAGTACAGCTCCTTGGAACTGGAAGCTACTGTGGGGAAAGAAGTCACAGAAGCAGTAATGAGGAAACAGGAAAGACAGAAGAGAACAGGGAGGAAGGAAGTGGAGTCGGTAGTGCCAAGAGACTCCCTTGCTGAACAGAAAACATCGTGATCAGGCAGTAAACCAATGAATTAAAACTAATTGCCATACAGCCACTGTCCATCAGGAAATACCCAGCTATGTCAATAAGCTGCTGATTCAGAGATCAGGAGGGAGAAATTGGTATGAGGAAGTGAGAATCCCAAAGCTATAGCAGGGACTCTTTCTAATGTGGCAAGTTTGACATCCCTACATTGAACACTGGCACCTTTAGGGGTGGGTAACCAGTGCAAACCATTCCTTCCTGCAGCCTGCCAGAGGAGCTTGTTCGCGTGTCTGGAGTCAGACACGGGGCAACCCAACAAGCAGGCGGCGGAGGCACAATGCCGATTTGCACTACAGTGCTGACTCAAGCCCCGGTTAGTCTGACACTGTGAAGCAAGTGAGCTCCAACTTCTACCAAGGTCAGACAGTGGTCTGACAACTAACAACCTCTCAGGGCCTCTCATCTTAAAGCCAGGAAACCCTAGGCAAGCTAGCATTTCCCTTAGCTTTCACAAGACCACAGACCAGCCTGTAAAGATATTTCGGTGGCATGGATGCCACATTCTCACTGCTAACACAATTTTCTTCCATAAAAATGAAGTCTCATTAGCAAGACACTTCTAGTTTCTTCTGTAACTCATTTTGAATGCATATTAAAAATGCAGGTAAAAATGGGTTACCTAATTTAAGCTCTGGCTCAAATTTTTAACTCAATTTTTGGTTTGGAGGGTATTCGCTTTGTGTAGAGAAATGGCAGACAGCTAATCAGATCAAGTATCTTGGCAATATCCCACATCCAAACGTTCCTCTGGCTATAATAAGGATTTGGGTGTAAGAAACACACATCTCCAGAAACTGCTGATGCAAAGAAAAGACAATCCAGCAATCCCAGAAGAAAAAACTCATACATATTCTTGAAAAGGTTTATTACTAAAATAAAGCTTTCAACATTAATATATCTGTGGTATCTCTATACTAATGCAAGGGATGCTTCTGCTGTTCTCAGAGTTGTGACAGCTGATTTAAAGTGTATTGCACACACTTCGCATATAAATCGAGTTTAAGATAATATTAGAGGGAATAATACTGTCTAATATTAGCGTGCCTGTCAAACACATTTTCAAACTAATTGATATTGCATGTTCAGCTCATTGTATCAGTAATGTTAAACAACACTTCCATTTTACTGAACTGCAGCTCTCCTTTACTAAAAGCCACTTTAGTTGAAGCAACTGGTCTGAGTAATTCCAGCTCTAGGCAGGCATCCAGATGTTTGTAATTTCCAATTATCAGCCGTAAGAGGCTGAAGCTGAGCCATGACTCCACACTGCATACACAGTAGACATTTTTAATAAATGCTGACCTGCAGTTCAGCTCTTTTGCTAGGTGGGTCGTGGCTGAATTGCTGATGCAGCTCAGCAGATCAAGTTGTTTCACAAAGAATTGAAAGCACAGAGATGTCACAATTTGGTGCTTTCTTTCTATAGCTGCTGTAAACTCAACTGGATACCCCCAGGGGAGCCTCCAACTTTCCAAATATATTGTAGACTGCAGAAAAATTAAAGTGAACCCTTTCTTGCCATTTGTTTATATAATCTCTTGCACTGCCATGATCTATCTGCACATTGCCTACAGTTCCTCTGTTTGGACACTCTAGGAGTGTCACATTGGCTTCTCACATGTGTTGGTGGGGTTCTGATGTGTCATTCCTTATCAGTAACTTGTGCATCTTGCAGGGCAGCTTTTATATTTTCTTAATATATGGCTGGAAACTTGTAGCCAGATTAGCAACATTTGTCAGATCTGCCTTGATTTTTGTACTGTATTCCTCAGAGAGATTCCATGAGCTGCCCACTGAACATAATTAATCCAAACCCCACAACTAGATATTATATTAGTTGATGCATTTCATTTTCCAAATAACTATGTGAATACATACTGGGCTGAGGAATGCTGAGGTTATGACATGCATGTCTTTTTTGCTTAAGTTTAAGCTAGAGGTCTATCTTTCTAGGACTTCCCGGGGAAAAAAAAAAGTTACCACCACACTAGGCGTTTGTTATGCATACACCACTTCCCCGAATCCCAGTGTGGTTGAGGTTGGAACTGACCTTTGGAGGGCATCTTGTCCAATATCCCTGCTTAAGCACAGTCACCTAGAGGAGGCTGGCCCAGAAACTTCTTGGTATTTTGGTACATATTGTACCTGTACAGGATGCACACGTGTATGCCATCCCTATGTATGACACAGATTTAGAAAGTCCCAGTTCAGCTTTCAAAAAAAGTCTATACACAGGTTTCTTGGCAAGAAGTAGTCACTTAAAATACTGTTACTAATTTTAAAGTAACACGGATATTCTAAGATGTAAGTTACTAGTTGGGAAATCTACAATTTTTTCCTCAAATGGCTTTTCCCACTTCTTACTGGTCTAATAAATCTGGCGTAATTACTACACTTCTGTATTTGTGCACTTAGGCCCAAATTAATTCCTTTTTACACTCTCTTTACTGGTCAGTCTCAAAGACAAACTGTGCATTACTGAGACTCCAGCTGGCAGACTGGTTGAAGTCTCAAGAGCCACCAGTACTCTGCGCTTGCTCCTCCATAACTGGTGAAAGAGGAATTGGAAGCCTCTACAGCGATGCGATTTTGGGACCCAGCACAAGGACACACATCCCTGTTTCTTAGTACGTGACTAATAAATCCCCATGGACAGATGACACTCCCGTCAATAGCGTATTTCCATACATACTGTATGGTACGTCTAAATATTTTGATGACTATTTTGTACCAGCTGTGGAAACTGGTTTGCTGCTAGGTGACTATAAAAGTGAGATTTGGTAAATAATTATTAGAAATCTTATACTAACACTATGATTGAAACAATAGACAAAAGTATAGCCAAGCAATTAACTAGTAGAGGTAGTTACTCATAAGTTTTGCAGTTCTTTGCTCTTATGACTAGATGTTCCTGTACGCTAGATGAGAACAATGTTGAAACTGACCACATGTGATTGAAACTGCATTAAGCTTCAAGATCAAAGAACAAGGACAAGAATAAAGACTTCAAGGACAGCCAACAGAATCTCAAATGGGTCAGTGGTCGCAAAAGCAGCCCTTCGACTCAAATGGATCCTTCATTGCACATGATCGGATGTAGGCAGTACTATGATAATCAGTTATAATCATTTTTATGTATATGTATACTAATCTGATTAATATGCAATTAGTTATTCACTATAACCTGTTTGTGCTAAAGCTGCGGTATGCGCGCTAGGTGGAACTAGCCCCCGTGCGTCCAGCGCTGCAATAAAGAATGCCTGCTTTCTAAAACTCCAAAACGAGCCTTAAGAGAGTTTCTTCGACCGGCTTTTCGGTACCACCGTGTTCAGCAGGTCTCCCCCTGCTCTGCACTCCCAGCCCTGCAAGGCAAGGCCTCGGGGCCGGGGCTGCACCACCCAGGCAGGGCCGGCGTCTGCAGAAGAACGGGGCAGAGGCCCACGGCCCGCGAGGAAGCCGCGCCACGGCACAGAGCGCGGCGCGTGGAGCAAGAGCACCCCTTCGCTCGGCATTTTTTTCCCAGGAAAACGCGGATTCCTCGCCAGCCGGCATACGAGCGGAAGGCCCCAAACTCCCGCTCGGGCCTGCGGGCGCCGTTGCGGCCCCGCCCCTGCGCAGCCGCAGCGCGGCGTCAGGCCGCCAGTGGGC